GAAGAGCGGCTGCGGAGAGAGAACGAGGAGCTGTGTGCCCAGTATCTGTCGCGCTGCCAGGAGGCTGAGCAGGCCCGCGCCGAGCTCACGGCCCAGCACCAGCGGCGCTTGGCGGCCACCGTGCAGGAGAAGGACCAGGAGATGGAGCGGCTCCGGGAGCTGCAGCGGTGAGGGGGAGGCCCGGGGGCAGGGGGGCTGCCTGCAAGGGTGGCCAGGGGAAGCCAATTGCTGTGAGACCCCAAGCCATGGGCTCAGCAGCCTCTGGACCGAGGCTTGACCCCTTCCCTTCTGGGAAAGGACCTAGGCCAAGCTCACTGCCCCATCGCCCCACAAGTGGGGACCCATCACTCCTACAGAGCGGGGAGGGCATACCGGCAGGGCCCAAGATCACTAGCTGTTCGGGCAGGGCCTGGCAGCAGCAAGCAACCCGAGGGCTAACTCAGCACCGGTGAACCCACTCACCGGCCCCACTTCTCGAGTCTAGTAACTAGATTGGCCCTGGAAAAGGTCGTGCCTGGCGTGTTGATCTGGTTACCTTTCTAGATGAGAGCAAAACTAGGAAAAAGCACGTGAGGGAGTTGGCCGATGGGGGCAGAGCCAGCCTTTTCACACGGCTCAGACTGGCCAGACACGAAAGGGTTGTCAGCACACTTGTCGAGTGTCCTTTGCTGCATAACAAGGAATCTGCCCCCAGAGAGTGGATGTGGCACTGAGGCAGCAAGACAGATAAGGCAGAGGAGCCGGGGAAAGTGAGGCTGTGCCTGGAGATGGGGAGAAGAGGCCCACAGAGCATGGAGCACCCGGAGGCAGGCCCCTCCCACGCAGAGCCGCCCTCCCCACTGTCCCCCAGGGCCTCCATCCTGGAGATGCGCAAGGACCACGAGGAGCAGCTGCAGCGGCTGAAGCTGCTGAAGGACCGGGAGATCGATGCCGTCACCAGCGCCACCTCCCATACGCGGTAGGCGCGCCATCCAGGCCCTGCCCGCCTGGCGCGGCCCAGCTGGGCTCCACAGGCCGCCGTGACCTGAGCCCCCCGCAGGTCCCTGAATGGCATCATCGAGCAGATGGAGAAGTTCTCCAGCAGCCTGCACGAGCTGTCCTCCCGCGTGGAGGCCTCACACCTCAGCACTGCCCAGGAGCGGGAGCTGGGGATCCGGCAGCGAGACGAGCAGCTCCGAGGTACCGCAGGCCACACGTGCCTCTCTCCTGTCCCCCGTGGTGGGAAGGTGGGCGGGCAGTGAGTGCCCTGTGGCCGCCCCCAGCGCTGCAGGAGAGGCTGAGCCGGCAGCAGCGGGACATGGAGGAGGAGCGGAGCCGGCTGCAGGAGGTCATCGGGAAGATGGAGGCGCGCCTGGGCGAGCAGAGCCGGCTGCTGGAGCAGGTGGGGCGCATCCTCCTGCCGCAGGGCCTGTCTCCCCCGGGCAACCAGGGGATGGCAGCTGTACTCTGACCTCGCCTCCTGGGCCTCGGGACTCTCCTCTGGAATGTCTCTCCTGCCCTTTCCTGCCTCTGCAGGGGCTCCCACCTGCCCACCTCCAGAAGCGCCCCAGGTCCACCCCATCCAGCTCCTACCTGCTCATCAGGGATGCCTGGGACTTTCAGAGAAGTGCTCTTGCCTTCGGAGCTGTAACAGATAACGTATTTAAACTCCCTACGTGTCTTCCAGGTATAAGAGCGAACTTCGTTCTTTAGAAAATCATGGCTTTTCGCGCTCGCTTCAGCAGCACATATACTAAAACTGGCACAACACAAAGAAGATTAGCATGGCCCTGCGCAAGGATGACACAAATTCGTGAGGTGTTCCGTATTTTAATAAGCGTGCTTAAACAGTTGGCTGTACTTATGGGGACTTCCCTGGCGGTCCAGGGGTTAGGACTCCATGCTTTCACTGCAGGGGGCCTGGGTTCGATCCCTGGTCAGAAAACTAAGATCCCACAAGCTGGGCAGCACAGCAAAAAAAAAAAATTAAAATTAAAAAATAAAACAATTGGCTGTATTTATAAAAAAACTCAAATTGACCCCTACCTTGTGCCAAACAAAAAAGCAATCCCTGATGGAACTGATCCAATAAATATTTGATGAATTCAGAAATAATAATAATATCTTTTCCTTTTCTGTACAAGGTTATAAGGTGATACATCTCATTGAAAAAATTAAAATAACAGGCAACAATAAAGAAAATAAAAATTACCCATTAGCCAGAGATAGCCATTGATGACATCACATATATCCTGTAGACATATCAGTACGTAGACACAGATGTTCTTACATCATGAACCATATTCATTCGGTGCTATATTCAGCGCCTGCCTCGGGCCAGGCCTGTGTGTGTGCCCCGAGTCCCCTGGCATACGGTGTCATGCCCACCCTGGTGCTC